TGTCAGTTGTGGGGCTTGAACTCTGGGCCTGGGCACTGTCCCTGAGCTCTTCAGCTCAAGGCTAGTGCTCTACCACTTGAGCCACGGTGCCATTTCTGGTTTTCTGGTGGTTTATTGGAGATAAGTCTCACAGTGTTTACTGGCTTTTGTACTGACTTTGATCGCTGGTTTTGAACCTCGATCCTTGGATCTCAACCTCCTGGGTAGCTAGGATTACAGGCATGAGCCACCAGCACCTGGCTGTATTTTCTTTTTCTTTTTTGTCAGTCATGGGTCTTGAACTCTGGGCCTGGGCGCTGTCCCTCAGCTCTTCAGCTCAAGGCAAGCACTCTACCACTTGAGCCACAGCCCCACTTCCAGTTTTCTGGTGGTTTATTGGATATAGGAGTCTCACGGTCTTTCCTGCCTGGGCTGGCTTTGAACCACGATCCTCAGATCTCAGCATTCTTGAGTAGCAAGGATTACAGGCATGAGCCACCAGCGCCCAGCTGTATTTTCTTTAACTAATAAAATTACTCTATCTCAAAGCCATTCCTCAAATTTAATAAAATAAAGACGAATCTTTAAAAACAGAGTTCATTTAAGCATGAGTAAGTTATTGGCACAAATATTTTATGTATTTTAATTATATGCTGTTATTTTATACTGTTTCCAGAAATGATCTGTTATAGAACAGAAACTGGAAGGCTTAAGTTGGGAAAAAGGGTTCCATTTCCAGCTCTGTCACTTTCTAATTCTATGTCTTTAGCTAGCTCACTGGATCTTTCTGAGACTGTATCAAGAACATTAGGAAGTAGATTTTCCAAAAATTGGCAGTCCAGTTTAAGGATCTTGTTTAACATAGGGATGCCAGACCTGATTCAAGCTGATTCTATTTTTTTAAACCTTATTACTATTTATTTTTAAAGAACAGTCACCATATAGCTCAGGCTGGGTTTAAATTCTTGATCATTCTGCACTAGCCCTGTCCCTCATATTACAATCATTAATGCATATTAACTGTACATATTAATGGGCTTCATTGTGATCTTCCCATACATGTACATGTGTATAGCTTACTTTGATCACATCCAGTCTCTCAACTACCCTTAATTACCCTCCATCTGCCCTTTAGTAAGCAATTCTGTAGTTATACTTAGAGACCTAGGAAAGCTTTATTTCTTGAAGAAGGAAGGTTTTATGATTGAAATATCATAAAGAGCTGCCAATATGGTTCCTGCCTGTAATCCTTGCATTTGGGAAGCTAAAGCAGGAGAATTTAGAGTTTGAAGCCAATGTGGACTATGTAGAGACTTTAATAAAATTAAAAAAAAAAAAAGAAGAAGAGCCAGGCACTGGTGGGTTAGGTGTGCAATCTTAGCAATTCCAGAAACTGAAGTCTGACAGGGAGCTTTGTTCAAAGCCAGCCCAGGCAGACAAATCAGAGTTCTTATCTCTAATTAACTAATTAAAAAAAATCCAGAGTAGATGTGTGACTCCAGTGGTGGAGCACCAGTCTTGAGAAGAAAAAAACTAAGCAAGGGTATTAGGCCCTAAGTTTAAGCCCCATTACTGGAACCAACAAGTAAAAAAGAAAATTGACAAAGCTCTGTCTGGGATGATGTTCATTTCAGTTGCCCATGTTTCCCTTTATTTCTGCATTCGTACTAACATTTTGGATTTCTATGTGTGTTTTCTGTTCTGTTTTTTTTTTTTTTTAGGACAGTTTATTCTGTGTTGTAGCAGCATTTGGGTGTTTCTACTATTGAATCTTTGAAAAAGGTGGGAAAGAAGAAATACGAACTCTTTATATTGTTAAATATCTTGACAAAATAAAAACAAGTTGGCTCTTCAGCAATTAGTATCTTTTGTGTTTTAGGCCATATATATATTTACATATGTGTGTGTGTGTGTGTATATATATATATATATATATATATAATTTTTTTTTTGCCAGTTGGGGCTTGAACTCTGGGCCTGGGCACTGTCCGTGAGCCTCTTTGTGCTAGGCTTGCACTCTACCACTTGAGCCACAGTGCCACTTCCAGCTTTTTCTGCTTATGTAGTACTGGGGAATTGAATCATCAAATCTAGGGCTTCACGCATGCTAGGCAAGCACTCTACCACTAAACAACATTTCCAGACCAAGGTCTTGTATTTTTTAATATGTTAATATGTACTCATATTTTGAAAACAGAAAAAAAGCAGGAAAACTCCTTTTAATTGTTTAAACACAATCAACTGTAAACATTTGTATTTTTATTTGCAGAGTTAAAAAATCACTGAAAAATTGCACATCTCATAATGTCACACGCAGTTATGTCATTTTGTTAGGATTTTGGGAAGTACAGAATAATAGTTGTATTTATTCCATTAAGTTATATCATAGGTATTTTTGCTGTTTCCTTATTGAGCGGCTATTTCAAATTTTGCACTACTATAAAAATACAAAGATGAATTTGGTTGTGCGTCAAACTTTCCTTTATATTTTGAATTTCTCTGAGTTTTTGTTCAGTAACTGCCATCCTGTGGTTTACACAGCTTATTAGCTTGTTTTAAATGCCCATCAGCATCTCCAGAGTTGGCTAGTGTGGAGTCTGAGATGTCTGAAGCTATGAATTAAGTTAAAACTTCGTTAACCCTTCTAGATTTTTTTTTTTTTTTTGGTCCGGTCGTGGGACCTGAACTCTGGGCCTGGGCGCTGTCCCTGAGCTCTTCAGCTCAAGGCTAGCGCTCTACCACTTGAGCCACAAGCCACTTCCAGCTTTTCTCTTATGTGGTGCTGAGGAATCGAACCCAGGGCCTCAGGCATGCAAGGCAAGCGCTCTACCGCTGAGCCACCTTCCCAGCCCCAGCCTTGTAGATTTCTACGTTGGTTACTACCCAACTCCCACTATCTTAGTCATGCTCTTCCCCTTAGAGGCCCAATGTCTTCTCCAGCTAGCTGGCCATATTAGGGGCACTTGTTCAAATACCTTTTTGCAACTCAAAAAGGAGGAGCTCAGATTTGGAGCGCTTTCTTAAGCTCCAAGCAGACGCACACATGTACCATCCTTTCTTAGCCACTCGCAAGTCAAGCATGTAGACCCAAAAATGATCCTGAATGCATCCAAAATTCTTTTCCATATTTCTTCATTGCCCTACATTATGGAAACTAGAACGCCTCCTCCAAAGGCTGGATCTGGCCAAGGAAAGCGTTCCTCCCAATGTTTCCCACAAGCGTCCTCGAGCCCACTGCCGCCCTCGCCTGCGGGGAGATCCTGCGCGGGTGTTCGGGCGTGCCAACCACGCCCAGCATAGCAAGAAGAGTGTGCTCACCGGCGCGGGCTGGCAGCTCTAAGTCCGCCATCACTGGGGCCGGAACGGCGGCCCCGCACACCCCAAGGCCAGAGGCCTTTCCAGCCCACCCCTGCACCCCACGAAGAGGAGCCGTCTTCTCGGCGTGCCCTGGTTCCAGCCTCGCGTGTTTCCGCCGGGTCACTTCCCCCGGGGAGCTGCGGTGGAAGCGGAACTATCGCGTCAGGGGTCGTGTTTTGCAGGGATAAGCGGTCGGATTGACAAGGGGGCGGGAAGCAGGCGGGACTTCCGGCCCGCTGTTCCGTCAGCTGCCTTCCCGGGGCGTCACCCCGCAACCGCTTCAAGTTCCCGGGTGGGTGACGCGGCGCTGCGAGAAAGTCGGCCGGGAGCGGAGCCGAGGGCGCGCGAGCAGCGGTGAGCGTTCCGGGGTTGCACGTACTCGCGGCTCAGCTTGCGGGGAGACTGTGACTGAAGAATGGGTCGGTGACAGCGAGAGGGTGAAGCGGGGGCTGGCGGGCCACTGTGACCGAGGTACAGTGACAGCCAGGCGACTGTGACCCGAGGGTGGCGGCCCGTGGGAGCCCGTGACCCCCGAGCTGGGAGGTGCGGGCCGGAGGCTGCGGCGGGACCATGACCTAGGAAGTGTGAGGCCGTGAGTGCGAGGGGCCGTGACCGCGGGGCGATGACTCTCTGGAGGCCTATAGATGGACAGTGAGTGGCAGGGGACTCTGACCGCAGCGAACGACCATGAAGCAGCCACCGCAAGGGCACGCGGACCGAGGAGCAGTGACTTTGAGGGGCTGACGTGGAGCCAAACGTGAGACCAGCAATGGGGGGGGGTGATACTAGTCTTGAGAGTTTTGTATAGAGTGCCATTGATTGGCTGTTAACTTGGTAGAAGAGGGTTTTATTGCTGCTGCTGCTGTTTGTTTGAGGTACTGGCATTTGAACTCAGGGCCTTTCACTTGAGCCACACCCCCAGTACTTTGTTTTAGTTCTCCCCCCCCCCCAGGTAGGGGTTCACATGTGTGCTTGGCTGACCTCAGCAATCCTCCTACTTATTTGTTGGCATAACAGCAAGTATCACTACAACCAGCTTGTTTTGTTCATATAGGGTCCCTCTAACCTCCCCTACACAAACCTTGAGCCTGATCTTCTTAATTTCTGCCTCCCAAGTTGCTGGGATGACAGGTGTAAGTCACTGTGTTAGGTAGAGAGGTTTTTGGTGGAAACCACACTCACTGGTCAGACAGACCAAGTGTAATTTTTTTGGACAAGTTTCTTGTGGGTGGGAAACTTACCTCACTGCTGAGTTTATCATTGAGTGAGTGGTAAGTTTGGGCTCTATAGATTAAGCCTCCCAAACTACTGGTTCCATCCTGCTGTTAGGTAAAGTCAAGTTAGTGGATGACACCTGACATTTTATTTAAAAAGGAATAGGATAGAATTTTTCAGTGTTCATATACTAAGGATAATATTTTTAAATCAAATGTGGTTTAGTTATGTGTGTTTGAGATTGTGCTGTAAAGTGGATTTAGCGCATGTTAAAATATATGAAGCAAAATGTAGTTTTTAAAATTGGAGAAACATTAGGTTCGATTTTTCTTAAGGTCTAAAATGTAATAATTCTATGACTAGGGGACTGTTTGGAAGTACAAAAATGCAGTTGAGGAGAAATGGATGTGTGGGTAGACTCTTATCAGACAGGCTTAACTGAAGAGAGTTTCTTAGGGGGCTGGAAGGTGGTTCAGTGGTAGAGCGCTTGCCTTGCATGCATGAGGCCCTGGGTTCGATTCCTCAGCACCACATAAGCAAAAAGAAAAAAGCCGGAAGTGGCACTGTGGCTCAAGTGGTAGAGCACTAGCCTTGAGCTGAAGAGCTGAGGGACAGTGCCCAGGTCCAGAGTTCAGGCCCCACGACCGGACCCAAAAAAAAAAAAAAGAAAACCGGAAGTGGTGTTGTGGCTCAAGTGGTAGAGCGCTGGCCTTGAGCTGAAGAGCTGAGGGACAGCACCCAGGCCCAGAGTTCAGGCCCCACGACCGGACCCCCCCCCCAAAAAAAAAGAGAGTTTCTTAAATGTAATTGAAAGTGTCTAGTTATTGCTAGAAATGAACTCAGGATCTTTGTGGAGAGAGGCAAAGTCATATTGAAAAAAGTAGTGACATTTATAGAGACAGTGAGAAGTTAGGAGTTTATGATAGGAGAAACAGGATAGGAATGAGGCTTGGTAAGGGACAGAAAAACCTTACTGGCAAGAGTAATAGCAGTGGTAAGGTATTACGTCTCTACCTATTATGTCTCTATATTTAGTGATTCTGTATACATGGTTTTGGTAGAAAAGAGCTAAGTGTCAGAGGCTCATCCTTTAATCCCAGTTACTCAGGAGGCTGAGATTTGAGGTTTGAAGCCAGCCTGGGCAAGAAAGTCCTTGAGACTCCTACCTCCAATTAACTGCAAATGCAGAAATTGTGGCTCAATTGGTAGAGATCCAGTCTTGAGCAGACAAAGCGAAGGTGTTCAAGTCCCAGTACTCAGAGTGGGGGAAGGAGAATTGCTAGGAATAGATATTGAGAATGGAATTTGGTGTGGTAATAGTGATAAACACATGATGACTATCATGAGGAAGAAAAGTCAACCAAAGGAATATGCTGAGTGCCTCACCCATAGTGAATAGATTATCACCCGCAAGAGGCATTAGTGTATGTAGCTATCTAACTCCATGATTTGTCCACTGGAGATTAATTCTGATTTACTGGACATTCTCTTTCATGAAGGTTGCTAAGAATGCAGATGAACTTAACTAAAATGAGTGTTAGTATCTCCTACTCTCTTATAGCCTGTTGTGAAGGTGCTACCAATTGTGCTACTAGTGCTTGAAAAGAAATTTAACTGAAGACATGTTTCATTTTAACTTAACATACAGCATATGAAGCCAATTGCTTATCAATTCTTACCCTCTATACAGTTAGTAATATGGGGAGACAGTTCAGAAAGGTTGAGAATGGTAGTGGATATCCTGTTGGGTAGAAAAGGTTTAGTTATACTTTCTTTCCAGAAGAGTGGGTATTTATTTGACCTACATTCTAAGAATTCTAAGAATTTTTCTGGAACAGAATATGTGCTTCAAGGTAATGAACTATAGAAGAGAAGGCACTTAGCATTGGAGACTATATTACTCCTGGGGTCCTTTGTGTTGGCTTAATGAATTAATTCTTTACATTCTCTTTAAAAATCCTGTATGATATCTTGGTTGATAAAGAAGCAAGCTTGTTTCCTCTCAACTTACGATTTCTCCTTGGGGTTTTGTTTTCTTGGGGGTCCTCCTCTTTGAGTATGTGATTCCTTAAGGAGAATGGTCTAATTGCATAGAGCCTTGGGTTGATTCTAAAGTCCCAGGTTACTTCATCTGATGCTAACATTGACTCACTCTGTGATTATGAGAAGCATTATTTCTTTTTACTTGTTTTACATTTCCTAAGTAATTGAATTGGCATGTGTGTATGTATATGTATATAACATATGCATATATGTGTGTGATATATATACAGAGAGAGAGAGAGAGAAAGAGAGAGAGAATGTTTTCCCTCTCCTCCCTTTTCTTCTAGTAACCCTCTTATAATCACAAGTTGAAAGTTCTATTAGTTTAAGGCTTTCTGTGTTTGAATTAGGATGACTGCCAAAGAGCCAGGGGAAATCATAGATCTACAAGGCTGTTTAGTCACATTCATAAGTACTAGCAACCACTTTTGAATTGAGGACTGCTAAAAATAGTGGCATCTAGTCTTTGCTCCAGACTTGAGAACATGAGTGCATGTCCTTTAACAGAAAACCGGGCTACCTTGCTCATGTGATTGTGTTTGCCTACTTTTTGGCTGTATAGTCAGGATCTTAATCTCTTTGTGGGGAGGTCATGACTCCTTGGCAGTATGATGAAACTTCACGAAGTCTCATTTATTTTATTTTAGATTCATCATGGAATGGATTTTTTTATTTTTTAATATGTTTATATTGTGAAAATACAGAGGGGTTACAATTACGGGGTAAGATAACGAGCACATTTCTTATCAAGCATTGTAGCCTCCTGCTTTGTTTCCCCTTCCTGTCTGTTCATATCCTCCCCCTCAGCCCCCCCACCAAAGTTGTAAAGTTCGTTTTTCGACATAACGACTTGTATATCTTATTGTTGCAATGGGTCCTCCTGTATCCCTGTTTTAACAATTTGTTTTTTCCCTTCCCCTCCACATATACCAACATCATATATAGTGAAAGCAGGGGTTGTACCATGGGGGAGGGACATACAAGGCAACAAAGACATAATCTTATAAATATGTTAGAAACAATCGCATGAAAGATCTCTTTTTTTTTTTTTTTTTGGTCAGTCATGGGGCTTGAGCTCTAGGCCTGGGAGCTGTCCCTCAGCATTTCAGCTTAAGGCTCATGCTCTACCACTTGAGCCACAGTGCCACTTCTAGTTTTCTGGTGCTTTTTTTTAAAAATGGTGATTAAGTGATTACATAATTTCCCAAATTTCACAGTATTGTGGAATAATGATGCTCATATGAAGTCTTTTTTAGAATAATATGTTTTTCTTTATTTTGGTGCTGGTACTGGGGCTTGAACTTAGGACTTGGGTCCTATCTCAAGCTTTGTTGCTTAAGGTTGACACTTTACTACTGAGTCATAGCTCCAATTCCAGCCTTTTTTTGCTAGTTAAATGGAAATAATAGTCTTGAAGATTTTTCTTCCTAGGCTGGCTTTGAACCTTGATCCTCAGATCTCAGCCTCCTGTATAGTTTGGATTATAGTTGTGAGCCACCAGCACTTGACTGAAATAATTTTTTTTTAATTTTTTATTTTTGGATCCGGTCGTGGGGCCTGAACTCTGGGCCTGGGCACTGT